TTTCTATACATCAAAGTGTAGTATCCTATAGGTCTTTAGTTCCCATGAGGCATCTCTTCCACATTCCTATGAGTATCTATATTAACTTGAGAGAATAATTCGTAACAAAAACTGGAAGCCACGATAATAGTTAATAAACGAAGTATGTTCCACGTCGGGTGAAAAAAATTCTGATTGCCATAAGGAAAATATATACTCATGACTTTTTTGAGTCACCAAACACACCTTGTTTATCACGTGACTTTCAATTTTTGGAATTATGGAAAAATTATCTTAGATTTTCACGTGAAATTACATCAATCGGCTGTTATAACATTTTGTATACACACTCTAATATGTATATTATAGAAACTATACAGGGCGTCTCAGAATATTTGTGACTATTTTGGGACTATACATTAAGTTCTCTATTATTTTGCAATTTTTGCAATTATTACCCAATGAGCAGAATGTCTAAAATCGATGCATGAGACAACTTTAAGATATCTTTAAAGCCTATTCTACAGAAATTCTTAAGAGTTATTTGAAAAAACATTTTTAAAATATGTCATAAAGAACTCTGAAAAATATCTTCCGCTTATTCGACAATTTTTAAAAACTAACTATTTTGAAAATTGCAAAATGATACAGAACTTTTCGATTTAGTTTAGTCTACTTTATCTGCACACGAAAATAGTTCCAAATATGAGACATTCTGTTTATCATTTAGGTCCGATTGTATCAACGTGCACATTATTCTTTTTCCCATGCGATCTTATAGAAGCCTCTTTTCATGGACTGATGCCATAGATTCCTATGTAAAACTTTGTAGAAAAATTTCCTATATTATTCTATATATATATGCTGCGTAAATCCTATAGATAGATCTATTGTAAAAAATTTAGAGGAATTTATAGGTACAACAGAGAAGCTATCAGCATCAGAGCTGTGTGGCTTAGTGGCAGGACGGAAATTTACCAACTCGGAAGAGAAACCAGGCCTGAGTTCGAGACAAAGAGTATCCTGATATTTTTCTTTGTTGTCATCAATTGTTTACATTATACAAGCTCCTACAGAATCTTAGGGGCTGCGCACAATGAAAGGAATAGGCAACAAGGAATTAGAATTTCAACCTATCAGAAATTATGTATTGTGGAATATACAATTTCTGATAGGTTGAAATTCTTATTCTCTGTTTCCTATTCCTTTCATTGTGCGCAGCCCCTTATAGTCCTTCATAGGAATCCATGAAAAACCCCATAGGAATTTATAACAAGATAAGAGCCTCCTTCCATGGGAACCTGTCGAATTTACCCATGGCTACCCATGGATAGGCAAACCCATAGGAAAATTCCCCATAGGAATTTGCAACAGGGACTATATATGTATAGCAAAAATAAAACGTTATTTTTAAAACTTTTTTTGTTAACAACTTTTTAACGAAAAGCGACCGTCAAGTAAAATTTGTCGGAGGTTACTCAGGGTCATGACCTTAACAACATATGTCAAGGTCATTCCATTATTATCAACGTTTACCGAAAAAAATATTAACATTATATTTTTGAATATACTATATTTGAAAAATATGATTGATTGTTTGATAATAACAATATAATACATATCTGTATATGCATATTTGTTCATATTATTGTCAAATATTAGCATTTTATAAAAAACATGTACAAATAAATATTTAAAACAAAAAAATAGGTACGTTCAGAAAAATAGGCACGAATTGCTACAAAAAATACAAATTAATGAAATTTTTATAAATTGTTTCTCAAATCTATAATACGTGTTAATGTTTAGTACATAATCAATAGAGACATGCAGGCAAATATGGTTTGTTTCCAAATTTAATTTAACATTGACTTATAACGTATTATAAGTAATAATGTATTATAGTTTATGCAAGCATCAATTTATGATTACGTATTATAATTCTTATTCGTCTTACATTAAGTAAGCACATCAATATTAATTATATAGTTTCAAATAAAATCTATACATTTCTTTTTTTTTACATGTGATGAATCAACATAATTTAGATATTAATAAAAAAATTTAGTCTTTTTAACTTCTTCAAAATATAAATCATTTAATTTTTAATATTTCTGAAACTGATATAGCACACATAACAAAATATTTCAGAATTTTGATATTTAATTATGCAAATATCTTATAGATATATAAAGATTTATAAAGATATTGCATATATCTTTATAAATTATATATACTAGGTGTTTTCAGACTATCTATACACCCAATTTAAAAATGAGGGAAGTGGTTTTTTTTTTTTGAAAAACGTTAGAGAGAGAGAGAGAGAGAGAGACAAAAGTGGTTGAAAATCAATGTATTATATAGGTGATTGATCTTGGGTGGCGCCATGAAAGTCATGTCAAGATCGATTTGAATTTTGTAAAAAGGGATCCATTTTTAGCTTTTATTACATATTCTTGTAGTTCATCTCAAGGTGTTTTCGAAATACTATAGTTACAAACCCTTTTTAATCGAGATCTTTCTGAATTAAGACTTTAAAATTTTAGTATTGCCGGCATTAGCATTATCCAAGATGTACTGCGTGAAAATCGTATGGTCGGATTTTCACCTCTTCGAGGTGCTTGATTAAAGTCTCTGACCGTGCAACCTCTACGCAATACATCTTGGATAATACTAATGCTAACGCTACTGAAATTTTGAAGTCTCATAACTCAGGAAGATCTCAACTAAAAAGGATTTGTAAATAGTCAAAAATTTCTTGACGGTAGCTACAAGAATATGTAATAAAAGACATGATTCCCATTTAAAAAATTCCTTCACGATGTCACGCAAATCGCATACACCCATGTAAAGTATTATTTGATCCCCAACCTTTTGTTTGAAATATTTTTCAAAATAATCATTTTCCTCGTTTTTAAATGAAGTATACGGGTGATCTGAAACACCGGTACAATATGTTTGTGCATATAAACTAGGTTTTTTTAATAAAAAAAAAAGTAATTTTTACATCTGCACATTTATGTAACTATATAAATTTACGTACTTTCCATATGTAAAGAAATTCATATATAAAAAAGGATATAATAATAATATAGTTTTAATATTGAAATGTACAATTCCATATTATATTATATATTGTATATATAATATACAATTCTTTTTTTTTTATTTATATAAATATATCTTCCAAATTATATATTTGATTAAATTTCATTTTTATATTACTATTTTTTTATATTAATATTTCATTTTTATTATATATGCAAGAATTATTCAGTAATATCTTATTAATTGTAAGTAATTTAACTTTGTTTTAAAAACACAAAATTTCTTTAGAATGAAAATTTGTTTTGTAATAAATACTACGGGATATATCGATATGTTATATAAAACTCATCAATTAGCATTCAAAAAATTAAAAAATGTGTATATTATGCTAATATTTTATATATCAATGGTACTTTCTTGAATAATATAACATTTGCAAAAAAAAATCAACATTTTATGATAAGCAAAAGAAAGACTTCAGAAACTGGTTTGAAAAAATCAACTTTTGTATTGTAAACTTTGGATGAGCATATGTGATACAAAAGAGACTACAGTATAAACTACTGAATACTTGCGCCTGGAACTAGCAAGTTAAATTAATACACTAATTTTTTATAATTGTTTGTTATTAATATAGAAAACGAAGTGTACATCATATAAATCTAAACTAACGAAATATCACGGGAGCTCGAGAAACTGTGTAGTTTGACGATTAGGCACGATGTTTAAAAGCAAACAAAATTCTAATATTTTCCGTTCAAATTATAATTTGATTGTGAAACATATCTTTTCCGTACAAACTATTTCTCTCTAAATTTCATTGTAATATTAAAAGTAGAAATACATATTTTCTATTGTTTTACTACTGTTTTTTGTCGTTTTAATATATATTATATGTATTCAATAGTCAGTCCAAGGCAAACTTCATCCGCGATAGTAATATAATATAGCTACTATTTTCATATTATTTTAAATCGATCTATCTATATATATATATTACTTTCTTTTAAAAAATGTGTATACTTAACATTTAATATAATATATATCTCTTTAAAATATTTACAGAAAATGTTATAATACAATATTTTAAATCGTTTGTTATATTCATACTTTATAAAGGCAATTATCAATGTAATTATAATTCTTAGTATATCGTGTAAACGCATTTTGTTTTTACAATAATCATCATGTTCATATTGGGATAATATATAATACAAGAGATAGGACATTACAAGATTTTGACATCTCTATGCAATGTTTCTATTATATGTACAACAAGTGCTATTGACAATGCAAATTATTTTTTCCATCGTTATTGCATTGATTTTCGTATTATGATTTTTAATAAAATGGACCGAGATTTATATCCACAAGATTATAAATAGTATTAAATGCTAAGAACTTTACCAATTAGTTTAGAGTTTTTAATTTAAGAGAAAAATGGTTTTTAAAATATGTACATTATACAAAATAACCATCTCAACTTTCTGTAGTAAATTATAAATTAATATTTTATATCTTAGTACGCATAAATAAACCATAATAAATCATACTATGTGCTCAATCTGATTGAAAATTAATATTATAATTTTATGAAATAAAAAAACGTATAGCTCTCTGTATTTTCTATTAATACTTACTTTTAACATTGTTTTATATTAATATATAGAATCAAGATGCATAATTATCATGTTTCAACTTTTATCGAACACAATATAAAAAATTATTCACATGATAAAAGATTATTTTCACATAATTTAAAACATTAATACGAAATTCCATAAAACATATCGTAGTCTATATTGTAGCATAAGCTATTTTTCTATACAAGTATATAATTATCATAAAACATTATTTACGTACATAACTATTGTGTCAACAAAATGTTAAATCAAGTATGTATATTTCGTGCACTTGACAAAAGTGCAAAAATATAATTTAAAAAATATTGAACACGTAAATACATTTAAGTCATAATAAATCTATAAGTGCTTAACAGTGATGTATAGACGTAAATAGCATATGCTACTTCTATTATAGTATAACTCAATGTATCCCACTGGAATTCATTGCGTTAGATGTATTAACAAAGTTACATACATTTGTTTTAATATTATTATCGTTGTTTATAGGCATGTGTTATAAATCGTAACAGTTTCTAATTGATTAACATTTTTCTTAAATAAATAAATGTTTAAATTAAATATAACATAATCACAGACATCAATGCTTCACGAGATCTTCTCAAATACTACATACAATATACTTGCACCTCTTAATTAACATAAAAAAGAAGAAACAATAATTGGAAACACGATTTCAATGGGATACACCAGAATCAATAAATTTGACGAGTTCATTTTGGCTTAATGTTCATAGCTAAGTAAATTAAGAGAACCTCACTAATCATCTACACTTTAGTGTCCGTTGAGTTGACTAAAATATTCGAGATATTATAAATTAATCGTGTCCAACGTATGTGAATTTCTAGATGCGCTGTTGTCCTTTGGTGATGTTGTAGCAACATTAACCTGCTTCGTAACATTGTTCGTAAACGGCATAGAAAACTTAAAATCAGCACCATTTGGCAATTTGCGCATAATTTTTCCAGACGTGATAAGTCTGCCAAAACCCTCTTGGTGAGCGAAGGCGTAGCCCGAGCGTAAAGATCGCCGTGTACGTCTCGTAGATGGTGTACGTAATATGTCTTGGCTTTGACGAGAACGCAATTGTGCCAGTCTCTGCTTCAGTCTGACTCTGTCGGACAGTGTCGGTCTAACGTCCATGAAGAAGAATCGCCATGATAGTACTGGTATCACCAGAATTATACAGGATATCACTGTAGTGAACCAAAAGGTCGCTTCTGACATGGCCTGCAAACATAAATTACAAGTATAGTGGAAGGGATAACATGGTGTGCAGTTGGCAAGCGTCTCTCTCTAAGAATGTCGTGTGAGAGGAAAAGGCTGCCAACTGTGAAATGCTAAACATGGGGCAATATTCATAGTTGGTTTTTATTTTAAAATTGTCTTAAAATAATATTTTAAGATGCTAACACAGTCCTCGGATTGACTTATGACATCTTAAGATTGTATTTAAGACAGTCTTAAATGTAAGAATCTTTCTACATATAGAAAGAGAAACATAAAGTGTATATAAATAAGGAAAGATTCAGTATAAATTTCACGACGCGAAATAGGCCGGCATTCATAGTCGATTCTTACATTTAGATTCTTAAGATGTCATAAGTCAATCCGAGGACTATATTAGCATCTTAAGACATTATTTAAGACAATTTTAAAATAAAAACGGACTATGAATATCGCCCCATGTTTAGCGTTTTATAGTTGGCAGCCTTTTCCCCTCACGCGACAGACAGAAACGGCGGAGATTTAGAGAGACAGAGGGGGGAGGTGGAGAGAGAGAGGGGGGGGGACGCTTGTAAACTGAGCTCCATGTTATTCCTATTACCATGATTAAAAGTGTTGCATATACTTGCGACGAAGAATATGAATAAGAATTTGTCATAATACATACCATCGTGAGACTGCCGACATAACTACCGCCTATGACGAAGTTGTAAAAGTAATCTAAAATAAAATACCAGATCAGCGAGCCCCACACCATAATGTGATTGAAAACTGTCCAATATGATGTGTCGAGAGCTATTTGAACAGTCACGACTATAACTAATATAGTGGCTACTACACTGCCCAGCAGCATGTGATCAGAAAGTACATAACCCTTGGGTGATACCCCATCCTTGTATGTCCCTGTGGAAATATGTAAGATATATGTGTTTGCATAAATCTGCTGTAATTTAAGAACAGACATTAACATTCTTTTAATAAGTACAGATATAAAATATTTACCGTAAGGTACCAAAAATAATACACAACTAGCATAAAATCCATGTAAAGCGCTCCAACAAAACTCTTTTTTGTTGAAGAGCAAATTTTGTAATCCTGGTGCGTATAGTTTCGGATACATTAGACTATTCTTATCGTTAACATCCTGATCGAAAATACCAACCGCCAAGACTGGTAATGAGGTATAAAATAAATTGTAGACGGAAATGTACATAGGATCAAATACAGTCTGTAAGAAAACAAATGTGGAAGATAATTATGCAACTTTAATTGTGCAGTGCAATTTACATGCTATTTTCTATAATATATCAGAAAAATAATTAAATACACATTCAAAATTTCAACTTCGGAGCAAGCTCTTACAAAGGAAAATTATGAATAATATTCGCCTTTGAAACATCATATTTTTGTTGTTATTTTCATCATTAATATAATAACGGCAATGTGAAGTTTTTGAAGACCTTACCTGTGCGCTGAATCCGCAGAAGAAAGCAAACCAGATATGGCAAAGGGTGAACGCGAAGTTCTTGTAAAAAAAATACCTAAGGAATTTACTCATTCTGTAGTACGACCATCTACCATGGACCAGAAGTAGCCTCTCTAAAAATCTAAATTGTCCTATCGAATAGTCAGAGGCTAACACCGCCTGCAATCCTTCCTGCCCGCTAATACCAACACCAATATGAGCCGTCTTTATCATCGAAACGTCGTTGGCGCCATCGCCAATTGCGAGTGTCACCGCAAATTTATTTTTTTTAATTAACTCAACGACCATCGCCTTTTGCAATGGCGTCACTCGACAACATATTACAGCTTTACCTGCAAGAAATTCGAGCTGTAGAATAATTGTTTTTAAACATGATGTAATCAATTTTGACTTACATTGACTAGACACTTCTAGAAAAAGCTGTTCCAGCTGTGGATGTAACGCGTGAACTAGAGAATGTCCATTTATAACTACTGCAAATCCCGTTGACTGCTCCATCTCGTGTTCATCCTGTTCGTCCCTACTAGGATTGTATTCGGTATCACTGCTGTGCAGAAAAAATATGTTTTCAAGCAAAACAATCTCTTCCCATATAAAAGATGATCGCCCGATATTTACGCGATTCAACTCTAAAATTTATTTACAAATATTCACAATTATAACAAACACAATTATAGCAAAAATTGAAGATAATAAATTGTGATCATTAATGAAATGACAGGAAATTTTGAAATTATCTTCTCGCCGTTAAGAAATGATGCACGTTAATTCTAAACAATACACAGTGCATTGTATTAATAACTATATACAAGAACGTGACACAAACATACCAGTTGTGTTAATATTATCACTAAGATTAATTATTAAGCATACAGAAAGAGAAGGAGTGAGTATCAAGCATCATAGTAAATTTTAGTTATTTATAACTATAATATTACTAAATCGTAGGTTATTTCAGATATAACATATGCAAATATCTGAAAAATATCTGAAGTGATTTAAAAAGGCAGATCTAATCTACCATTCTAGCTACGTTGTTTTATTGTAAAAACAAGAACTGGTATTGATATTTTTGAAAAGAAGATAATTAGAAAAAGTGGAAAATAATTTTTTTGTAATGCTTTTTACATACAGAAGGTATAAATACTATCATGTGCATGCAGATCATTATTCCAAAGTCGAATTTCGCGAGGGATAAATAGAAAAAATGGGATATGTATAAACCAATGCACGTACGAAGAATTAAGCTACTAGTAAAATACAATCGTTGCATCCTTGTATCATCCGAAATATCTCTATACTCTACATAAAAATGTGTTTTCATTCTTATGAAATAATTTTAATTTGAAAGATAAATAATAAAAAGCATACAGCCACAATGTAAACAAGTCATGTATTTAAAATTCCAAATAAATAAGTAAACGTTTCGGTCAAGATTTGACCATCATCAGTACATAAAAAGATATCTTTACATGAAGGTTCTCATCGTTTCTTAAGAAAAAATATAAATAGCAATAGATTGTTTATTAGAAGATTGTAATAGCTTTCCTGACTTCTTTTCATACTGTTTTTCAAATCATAAGCAAGAAGAAATTATTTTAACTTTTAAGTGCGATCATTGCGATTGTAATGTAATTGGCATGTACCTTTTGTCTATCAATTTCTTTATGTAATTTTTAATTTAACATCCGACCTGCGTTTTAGTTTGTAAGACTTTCAATTTTGTCATCTTTTTATGTACTGATGATGGTTAAATCTTGACCGAAACGTTTACTTATTTATTTGGAATTTTAAATACATGACTTGTTTACATCTATTGTTGTGGCTATATGCTTTTTATTATTTATCTTTTGTAATTGTTTAGCCACTTTCAAATAATTTTAATTTTAATTTTAATTTGAATTGTGTTGCGAGATTCGCTAGTTTGAATATAAAGCATACGAGTTCTCTTTAGTTAAATATGATAAGTTCTTAGGCAAGACTATATGTATAGACATAGAAAGCATTACATGAAACATAGTGCCACATTCAATGTGAGAAATAGTTTTCCTTTCCTTTCTTAATAAGAATGCGTTAATTAGAATCAGCAATAGAAGAAATTGATAGGTTGTACTCCGTCTCTTTCATGTGCCTGACCTTTCCTTGTCCCACCTGAATGTGACAATGGAGAGAGTTGGCCGTTTCTGTTGGGTCGAGGCCATCTTAATGGTATCCAAATATCGCATTAATTGTGACTCCACGCTATCGTAAGTTGTGCCGTCTACCACAAAGACATCCGTAAGATCATCCGTCAATAACTGGCATGAGTATCCAATGTTGATAGCTGTTTCTGTATGAGTAAAAAGTTTGAAAATGTTATTCTACAAATATGAATAAGCTTTTTCGTCCTTATCGTATTTATATACGTATTTATAAACTTGCCTTGTTTGTCACCAGTTAATACCCAAAGTTTGATACCAGCGAGGCTCAGATTGGCGATGGTCTGAGGTACACCGTCTTGTAATTTATCTTCGATGGCAGTAGCACCCAATAACGACATATCTTTCTCTATTTCTTCGTAAATCGCATCCAGCTTATCGTCTCTATTCTCTTGACTTAACGCTGCTTCCTGATGTCGTTGCTTCCAATTATTGAAAAAACTTTCGTCCAAATCTCTTACAGAAAGGCACAGTGTTCTTAAACCTTCACTTGCGAATTTATTTAGATGATCCAATGTTTTTGCCATTATCTCTTCACTATCCTTTTTCAATCGCTCATAAATAACGTTATCTGCTCCTTTGCAGTACAATCGGAGCTGTCCATCTTTTCTTAAAATTACGGACATCCTCTTTCGCACATTATTAAAATCCAGAATACAGAGAAGTTCATATATCTCTTTCTTTCCCATTACTTCAATCGTTATACTGTTGGGCGATCTCTCTTTGAAAACAAAACCAAAGTTTCTAGCTGCAGATACTAAGGCAGCCTCATCAGGCGATTGTGCTTGGTATTCAATCTTGCCATGTTTTTCTTCCGGCATAACAGTATGACAAAGTGCTAACAGTCTGAAAAAACTGTGGACGTCTTGATTTTCCCGTCTTACGGCTTCGAGCAGCGCGGGATCGTAGAATTTGAAATCTGGTTCGTAATCCTTGTTAAACGAAAAATCCAAAGGTGGCATTGTCTGTAAAATGTACGACGATTTTTCAGAAACTTCGCACTTTGTTGGCATACCACGTTAATGTGGAAGAAAATTAATCTTATTAATCTTATTAATTTGCAGAGATCGAGAAATCTGCTGTTATTAAAAAAGAAAGGTAAGAAAGCTAAACAGAAAGCTAGATTATCTGAGTAATGTACCTTGTTTCCATAAAAATAGATTTGATGGAAGAACTGGATTATATATTAGTAGTTGTAACTTTGTCAAAGTATATACATTAAGTAAATAGTTATGAAAAAAATTAGGCTTAACAGTGTATTTATGTGATATAAGAGATAAGCATAGTTTATTTATCTAGTTTATAGCATAATATAAAGTTCTAAGCACAAACTACGAATACAGTTATTGAGCGTAATAAAGATAACAGAAATGCTTCTATTACTTATCATATTACATGTGATAAGTTACGAGTACAACGCTAAACAGATAATAATGAACATGATATGTATATACGATTCGAACAACAGGATATACAAATAAAAGCGATAGCGTGTATAAATTGGTGAAAAAAGGTGCTAATTATCAGCATGCGTACTGAAGACTTGTGTGGAATCTTTGGGCTGCCGTTGATGCCGGATTCTGGTGTTGTACTAGATACCCTGTCTGCTTGTTCCAGAAGCCTTATATTCGGACCACTTAATGGTGTGTAAACTGGACGTACGAATTCCTGTCCACTCTTCCACTGCATCGTCGCCGTTGGAACAGCTCTGCCCGTCTACATGCAGCACACACATGCTAAAGTGATGTGTATGAAGTTTCTTGCAAAGATATGACCACAAATCGAGATCATACTCGTATTTATATGATATGTAACTGAAGAGAATTATCATGTATGATTAAAAACGGAATCACGTTACTATTAAACATTCAGGAATATTCAACAAATCACGCATGGATATAAGGATATTTTTAATGCTAATTGCATTTTAACGTAAACAGGTTTTTAACATGTTTTGTTAAACGATTGCAAGAAGGAAAAAACAGACGCTTCTATAGCTTTTTACATGAACACCGTTTATCAGCTTTAATTTATAATAAAATATAATACAGATTGTAATAAAAAAAACATAACATATAAAATGTAAAAATGCAATACATAACCCCTCATACAATAATAAAGAATTTTCAGCGGAAGCATAAGAATATTATATTTTTTTCACATAGCATTAAAAGCACAGCTAATATAATACGGATAACGTATTTATCTTATTTTAAATATACATATATGTACAACTTTGTAATAACGTGAAAATTTATGTAGCACATACCGTATCACCAGCATCGAGTCAGGAATCTTCGCATCAATGAAATAACGACTCACCTCGCTCAAATCGATGACTTCGCCGGTAACTTCATCAATAACGTCGCCGTAACACTTGCCCGCCACAGAACACTTGTTGAAAGTCATTATATTCTGCGTCAACGTCCCAGTTTTATCGGAGAATATGTATTCTATTTGGCCTAGCTCCTCATTTAACGTAGTAGTCCTTGCTTTAGCGTGTGTTTTCGTGGGCGCGTAGTACATTTCTTCGTCCCAATTTATTAAAAATGACTGAACAAATCGAATAACTTCGACACTCACATATAAACTGATTGGTACCACCGTGTTCAATACAATAGAGTACGAAAAGAATACGAGTAGGGCAATCACTGTGGCACCGGTAATGGGCTCGCTCGGCACTAACGAGTCCCATGGTAGGTACGCCTGGAAATAACGACCTACAAGGCTTTCCCAAATACCACAGCCGACCATACAGAACAGACATAAGGAAAGTAAAAAAAACACTATCCCGATGATAAGAAGATTCAGCAATCTATCTATAGAGGTCCTCTTAAATTTGGTCTTCCCTGAGTTTTGCATCAGTTTGGTATCCTTGCCCGCAAAGATCACCATGCCATAGCACCACTGCGTATTCCTAAGTACGCAGCCCCGTAAAATAATCTTGTCGTTATCCAATGCGTACCTGCAATTAGTTGCGAAATATTATGATGTGACGTCGATATCGCTGCTAATTAGTGATTAAGTAAATTTAACGCAACAAAGCAAGAGCCACATATTTTTAGCTTCTCTAAGAAGCTGTAGCAGTAAAATATTTTGTTTTTTACCTGGCTCTGCTTTATTTATAATATTAATCTTACTTTTTTCCTCTCCATGTTAGTATTCCATCGAATTTATTTAATAAATTATTGGGGGTTTCGCAAATGATCTCTCCATCGAACTGGCCGATTAATTCGTGATTATCCATCATCTCCGCAGTTTCAGGCAGGCATTGACGACACTTTAAATTCGTCTCCCTACACAAATTTTATAGATTGCATTCACAGACTCGATTAAAGCGTGTAATTGAATAATTTTTATAATATAAAAAGGTACCCGTCCAATTCTGCTGTTTCGATGTAACAAAGGCCATTCGGCTCGCTCGTCGTTAGCAGTAGAACATCCGCTGCGACAAACTGATCGTTCTCCATTCTGATTACGTCGCCCACTTGAACCTGTGACCATTTTTCCTCACGAAGATTAGTACCCCGCAATGTTCGGGATTTTCTATTATTTACTTGAGAATCGTTGCTATGCCGTTGCTGAAAGTTACATTGTATTATTAATTTTTTCGCGGATCACATTCTACTTTTTGTGTAAAATCTATTTTGTATATGTATACGTTATAAAGTCTATCTTATTTAAATATCTTTGTAAAAGACATGTAATTTTATATATTTAGTTTAATATAGTATATTTGTATTTTTTATTAAAATATACGCGAAAAAATAATAAGATCATTGATCATAGAATACTTACAAAGTCGTCATAGGCATCTTTGACGGCAGTGAGCGTGAGTACCCCTATAAGCGGTATGGCTGTAGTGATAGGGGTTAAAGAAGATATGGCGGGGATCATCTGGAGCACCAACAGGCATAGGAAGTAAAAGTTAGCGAGTCGCTGAAATTGCTCGAACAAATTCAATGGTAGGAACGTCAGAACCGAATACTTGGACGTCTTGATGTAATTATTCTGCAAATCAACAGAAATACATTCATATATCCGTTATTAAATTTCTAACAATATATCATTCCTTACCACACACTTTTTAAATTAAAATTTAAAATTTAGTAACACTTAAAGCAAAAAGATGGGTTTTGTCTTACCGCATAATTAAACTGTGAGTTGTACTCGCGATTATTGGCGCGAATTCGCCTCTCTGTTTCTGTAAAAATAATACAATAAATGTGTGAAACATTTATTGTGTATCTCTGTATATTGGTATCTATTGTAGTATACATACGCATGCACGCAAATACATATGCACACATACATGCACACGCACTATATATATAGGGTCAACCAGAGTAACTGTGATGGTGGAATAATTGCGATACTTAGTTTTATTAAAATTCAAAAAGACTTTTTATATTATTCCATGTTCAACGATGATTTGACTTTAAATTGACACAAGTTTTCCTAAGTAGACAAATTTTTTATTATAATAATTATTAAATCCGTAAAGCGTTGTAAAAAAAGTTAGGTTATCAAAGTTTATCTATTCAAAGTCAATTTTTTTCCAGATGGAGCCATATTAAATATATACTATATGATATTCTTTAATATTACTATTATTCTAAATTAATGTTTTGTCAAGGTTATAGTACAATTAATAGTGTATACAATTTTTTAATTGATCACAATTACCCTGTCAATTCAATGTATGGGATAATTGTGACGATAAGTATTGGGGAAATCGTGATGCTTCGCGCGCGATTGCGCTAAGCAATGGCTTGCCCGTTATCACGAATGCGACACATTGAAATACTGACAATTGTGCGTTAATAATTAATAACACAGGCCCACAAAAAAAAGCACCCTGTGCTGGGGTGGAGACCCAGCTATTCTTATGTATTTTGAGTCGCTGAATACGAATCTGACATAAAAATAAGACTATCCAGGGTAAATTTTAAATTTTCTAGAGCGAAAAAATGGATCAAAAATGAGAAAAATGAGTCATTTTTTTCGTTCTAGATTGAAAATTTACTTTGAATGGTCCTATTTTGGATACGAAACGTTTGTTATGTTATAGACCATTGTTTTTGTTTATGATTTAACTTTTATATTAAAACCTCTTTTTTTAGGCTTGTGGCCCTCTTTTATATTATTATTAAATTTTATTGAGCCTTTTGACATATTGTTTGATTTAAAGACGTGTTCATTTTTGGTGATCAAATATATTTTAATAATAAAAATGAATATCGTTTACATTTTGTAATTATTATTAATGTTTTTTTTATTCATGTCTTACAATAGATCTCTCTACTAGAAATCTCATTTATATATATTTCAATAAAATCATCATTGTCACAATCACTTCTTAGACCGTCACATATTATCCCGTTATATAGGGTATTATATGACTGAAGGAGGTTAGAAAATTTATTTTTATACATAAACAAAACATAATTTCGGTTACTAACATTTTTCTATTAATAATAGAAGCTTTTAAATAATTATTCGTATAAGAATTAAATAATAAAAATTAGGAAAACGTTGTTGAATTCGCATTTTTTCGTCACAACGGTTGACTCTATATACAGGATGTTTGGAAAGTAATGATAAATCTTTCGTATAGAAGCAGAATGGACTAAACTGAAAAGTCCTTTATCATATTACAATTTTAGCAATATTTAAGATATCAATTGCTAAAAATTGTCGAAAATTGGTCTTCAATCACTTTTTACTCAAATACTATCAACTTTACAAAAAAACTATAATAGACAAAAATTGTTTATTTTCTTCTCATAAAGTTCTGAGAATTTTTTCAGAATTGTTTAAGACCGTATTTTCATGTTCGTCAAAATAAAAAAATCCTAAAAAGTTGATTAAAAATTCTGGAAAAATTCTTAGAATTCTATAAGAAGAAAATAAACAATTTTTGTCTCTTGAAGTTTTTCTGTAAAGTTGATAGTATTTGAGAAAAAAAATTATTGAAGACCAATTTTCGACAATTTTAAGCAATTGATATCTTATTAACTATTGCGAAAACGTAAAATGGTAGAAGATTTTTCTTCTCAGCTTAGTCCATTGCTATGCAAAAAATTTATCATTATTTTCCAAACACCCTGTATATATATATATATATA